TTCATGGCAAATTGATGAGGAAAAAAAGGAAATAGTGACAGATTTTATTTTCTTGGACTCCAAATCACTGCAGACAGTGACTGTAGTCATGAAATTAAAAGACTCTTGCCACTTAATGAAAACTATGACATACCTAGACAGCATATTAAAAAGCAGAGACATCACTTTGCTGACAAAGGTCCATATAGTCAAAGCTATGGTTTTTCCACTAGTCATGTACAGATGTGAGATCTGAACCACAAAGAAGTCTGAGCGCCAAAGAATTGATTATTTTGAATTGTGGTGCTGGAGAGTAAGGAGATCAAACCAGTCACTTCTAAAGGAAATCGACCTTGAATATTCATTGGAAAAATTGATGCTGAAGCTGAAGCTCCAATACTTTGACCACCTGATGTGAAGTGCCAAATCATTGGAAAAGACCCTGATGCTGGGAAAGATTGAGAGCAGGAGGAAAAGGGGGTGACAGAGGATGAGATGGTTGGATGGCATCATCAACACAATGGACATGAGTTTGAACAAACTCGAGGAGATAGTGAAGGGTAAGGAAGCCTGGTGTGGTGCAGTCCACAGGGTCGCAAAGAGTCAGATAAGACTTAGCGACTAAACAACAGCAAACCTACCCTAAAAGAGGTACTGAAATCTCTTCTCTAAATAGAAAAGAAAGAATAATCTATAGGAAATGGGAAAAAAATCATAATAGGAAAGGCAAATATATAGAAGGATTGAAAATCACTTAAATAAGTTAGTATGTAGATTTTTAAAAATTGAAAAAATTGTAAAAGTGATCATAACCATAATAAACAATAAAAGGATAAGCATGGAAATGTAAAATAGGACATTATCATCACAAAATGTCAAGACAACCTACAGACTGGGAGAAAATATTTGCAAACAATGCTACCAACAAAGGATTAATTTCCAAAATATACAAACAGTTATACTGCTTAATAACAAAAAAAACCAACCCAATAAAAAAATGGGTGGAAGATCTAAATTGATATTTCTCCAAACAAGACATAGAAGGAAAATATCTCAACATAATTAAAGCTACCCATAGCCAAATAATATACAATGGTGAAAAGCTAAAAGCCTTCCTGCTATATTAAGAAACAAGACAAGGATTCCAACTCTCACTACTTCTATTCAACATAGAATTGGAAGTCCTCGCCATAGCAATCAGAAAAGAAAAAGATATCCACATTGGAAGGGAAGAAGGTAAAACTGTCAGTATTTGCAGATGATGTGATACTCTACATGGAGAGCCCTAAAGGCTCCACACAAAAACTATTAGAACTCATAAATGATTTCAGCAAGGTAGCAGGATGAAAGATTAATATACAGAAATTTCAATTTTTATACACTAATAATGAAATATTAGAAAGAAAATTTTTTAAAAAATCCTCAAAAACAACCCTCAAATCTCATCAAAAAGAATAAAATACCTAGGAGTAAACTTAACCAAGCAGGTGAAAGATTTCTATGCTAAAAACAACACACTGACAAAGGAAAATAAAAATGATTCAAAGAAATGGAAAGATATCTTGTGCTATTGGATTAGAAGAATATTATTAAAATGGCCCTACTACCCAAAGCAAACTACAGATTTAACGTAATCTCTATCAAAATACCCATGGCATTTTTTTCAGAACTAGAACAAATAATCCTAAAATTTATATGGAACTTCCAGAACAAGAGTAAGAAACCAAAACCAGAATTACCAAAGCAGACCTGAGGAAAAAGAAAAAAGTTGGCAGTTTTACTCTTCCAGACTTGGGTTATGATACAAAGCTACAGTGGGCTTCCCAGAAGGCAGAGTGGTAAATAATCTGTCTGTCAGTGCAGTAGACACAGGAGACCTGGGTTTGATCCCTGGGTCTGGAAGATCCATTGGAGGAGGAAATGGCAACCCACTCCAGTATTCTTGCCTGGAGAATCCCATGGCCAGAGAAGCCTGGCCGGCTACAGTCCATGGGGTTGCAAAGAGTTGGAGTTGACTGAGCAACTAAGCATGCATGCACAAAGCTACAGTAATCAAAATAGTGTCATATTGGCACAAAAACAGACATATGGATCAGTGCAACAGGATAGAGCGCCAAGAAATAAACCCACACACCTAACATCAATTAATGTATGACACAGGATGTAAGAATATACAATGGAGAAAATACCAATTCTTAAATGAATGATTTTGGAAAGCTGGATAGCTAAAGCTGGGTGTAATCAATGAAATTAGAATATTTCCTCACATCATATGCAAAAGTAAACTCAAAATTGTTTGAAGACCTAAATGTAAGATATGACACCATATAGCTCCTTCTTCTTGTTCAGTTGCTAAGTAATGTCGGACTCTTTGTGAACCCATGGACTGCAGCATGCCATGCTCCTCTGTCCTCCACTATCTCTTGGAGTTTGCTCAAATTCATGTCCATTGAGTCAGTGATGCTATCTAACCATCTCATCCTCTGCCACACCTCCTACTGTCAATTTTCCCTAGCATTAGGGTCTTTTCCAATGAGTCAGCTCTTTGCATCAGGTGACCAAAGTATTGGAACTGTGGCTTCAGCATCAGTCTCTCTAATGACTATTCAGGGTAGACTTCCTTTAGGATTGACTGGTTTGATGTCCTTTTGGTCCAAGGGACTCTCAAGAGTCTTCTCCAGCACCACAATTCAAAAGCGTCAGTTCTTCAGGGCTCAGCTTTCTTTATGGTCCAACTCTCACATCTGTACACGACTACTGGAAAGACCATAGTTTTGACTAGACAGACATTTGTCAGCAAAGTGATGTCTCTGCTTTTAAATACATTGTCTAGGTTTGTCATAGCTTTCTTTCCAAGGAGTAAGCCTCTTTTAATTTAGTGGCTGCAGTCACCATCCAGTGATTTTGGAGCCCAAGAAAATAAAATCTGTCACTGCTTCCACTTCTTCTTTTCCCTTCTATTTGTCATGAAGTGATGGTACCAGAAGCCATAATCTTTGTTTCTTTAATGTTGAGTTGCAAGCCAGCTTTTTCACTCTCCTCTTTCACCCTCTTCAAGAGGTTCTTTAGTTCCTCTACACTTGCTGCCATTAGAGTGGTGTCATCTGTATATTATCATCTGTATATCTGAGGTTACTGAGATTTCTCTTGGAAATCGTGATGCCAGCTTGTAAGTCAGCCAGCCAGCATTTCACATGATGTACTGTGCATATAACTTAAATAAACAGAGTGACAATATACAGCCTTGACATACTCTTTTCCCAATTTGGAACAAGTCTCTTCCATGTCCAGTTCTAACTGTTGCTCCTTGACCTGCATACAGGTTTTCTCAGGAGACAGGTAAGGTGGTCTCATATTCCCATCTCTTTAAGAATTTTCCACAGTTTGTTGTGATCCACACAGTCAAAGGCTTTAGTGTAGTCAATGAAGCAGAAATAGATGTTTTTCTAGAATTCCCTTGCTTTCCCTATGGTCCAACGAATGTTGGCAATTTGATCTCTGGTTCCTCCACCTTTTCTAAACCCAGCTTGCACATCTCAAAATTCACATACCGCTGAAGCCTAGCTTGAAGGATTTGACCAAAACCTTACTAGCACATCATTTAGACAGATTTAGAATCTTTTTTTTATCTATCTTGAGTTCAAGAGAGGGAGAAAAGTGGACGTATAATTCACTTGTAAAAAAAATATCCACTTGTTGAAGAGTGTCTTTTCTTCATTGTATATTCTTACTTCCTGTGTCATAATATTAATTGGTAATAGGTGTGTGGATTTGTTTCTGAGCTCTCTATCCTGTTATATTGATCCTTATGTCTAGTTTTGTGCCAATACCACACCGTTTTGTTTACTGTAGCTTTGTGCATGCATGGTCAGTTGCTCAGTGATGTCTGACTGCAACCCTATGGACCATAGTCTGTCAGGCTCCTCTGTCCATGGGATTCTCCAGGCAAGAATATTGGAGTAGATTGCCATTTCCTCCTAGAAGAGAACATAAGCAGAACATAATTTAACATAAATTGTAGAAATATTTTTCTAAATCAATCTCCCAAGGCAAAAAGAAAAGGAAACATTTAAAAATGGAACCTAATCAAACTTAAAAGCTCTTGCCCAGCGAAGGAAACTATCAACAAAATGAAAAGACATCTATGGAATAGGAGAAAACATTTTCAAATGATGCAAGCGGCAAGGGGTTATATCCAAAATACACAAACAGCTCATACAACTTAATAGCAAAAAAAAAAGAAAAGTATCCAACATAGGTAAAGATCTAAATAGATGTTTCTCCAAAGAAGACACAGTCACATGAAAAGATGCTTAACACTCCTAATTAATAGAGAAATGCAAATTCAGAACCACAATGAGGAATTACCTCATACCTATCAGAATGGCCATTGTTAAAAAGTCCACAAATAATGTGATGTACACCTGAAACTAGCACAACACTGTAAACCAACTATTCTTCTATAAGTTTTTAAAAAATATATGTTTATTACTAAAAATTCACAATTTAATCTGTGGCTCATGCAACAAGAAAAGTAGGGTGAAGTAAATGCATAAATGAGTCATCTTTTATTTTGATTCTAACATCAACTTTCTTTCTGACCAATTCTTTTTTCTGTAAATACTAACAACCATAAAAATGGATATTTTTATAAGTGAGTTATATGTCCACCTTTCTCCCTCTGTCTTGAACTCAAAGCAAATGAAAACAACATTCTAAATCCATCTGAATGATTTGCCAATAATAAAAAGGATCTTAAATACAGTTAACTTTATTGGTAAGACTTATATAGTGCTGTTTTCTCTGGCATCTTAGAAGAATTAACATTCCTTGCTTGATTCCCTAGTAAGTTGCATTTGTCCCTTGTAATTGCCCAGAATATTAAATAGTTATATTTTAATGGATTGCTTAGGGTTTATAGAAGAGACCATGGATCTAACAACAGATTAGACCTTTATTGCCTGCTAATTTATTACTCCTACTCCAATAGAAGACATAAATAGTTCAAATAGAGTATATACCTGGATCTAGATTGGCCCACTTCTTCAAGAATCATAGAGAAGTGCTTCCAAGTTTTCTCATGGAATGAGTGCACAAGTTTCCTTGTATCACCAAACAAAGACAGGAAATAATCTTCCCCTTCCCCAATCACAGCTGGCTCACCAGCAAGGACTGGAATAGAGTGTCTCTTTGGAATTTTGCCGATGTTGAGTCCTTTCAAAGAAAGCAAATATAGAGAAGTATATAAAAGAGTAAAAGGACCCAAAGCTACTATCTTTATTCCTTGCTTCTATACAAAACAATATTCTTTATATACTTTACTGTCACAGTCAAACTCAATGAGGATAGTTAGAAACTTTAAACCAGTCTGTAAAATAACCAGTAAGTGATTATTTTTAGTGACACTTAGTTCCTAAAGATTATTTCAGTTATCTGAAAACTATTCACCAGCATAATTATAATTTAATTAAGTTGTAGTAGAAGCAATGTAAGTTTTTGAGTAGTTAAAACATTTGAGTCTCTCAAATTTGGATATGTACAGTTTATTCTATTTTATATTAGCTCTTCTCCCCAAATTACTATGCATAAATTAAAGTCCCAAATGAGTTCTTTCTTACCAATGGTGTATGTTTTGCCAGGCAGACTTAAATTTCCTCTAATCAACTGAAATACTTTATTAGGAAGATAAAGTAATGCTTAATCAGATTCTAATGTTTTCTTGGAAATTTATTCTTTTAAGATTCTCAATACTAAGATTCAAACATAAAATACGTTTCATTATTTTGCATAGAAGGAATCATGCTGGATAAATCTAATTGTGTATCTGCAAGAAAAACATTACAGAGAGACATCATGATGACATAGAGCACTGTGTCTTGGATTTAGACACACTTGTATCCCAGCTTTGTCACTTACTGATTTAAACCAAATGATTTAAACCTTCTAATTCTCAGTTTTCCTGAAGATAAAATAAGGATAATACTACCTTGTGTGAGGCAATGTGAGGATTGCAGATAATATAGATGAGTGTCTAGCATTTAGCAAGTACTCAATAAATGATAGCTATTGTCCTAGCACAGGGACTTTGGCTAACGTGAGCCTGGGTCTAAAATCAGCAAAGGATTAAGACAGTCTAGAGTGTACTTGATCCTCTTGTGTCTTTAACAAAACCAAACCAAGGTGAAATATGAAATAAATAAAAACACATTCCTTAGAGGATTTTGTTTAGAAGAAATACTTGGAATTATATTAGTTCATTCCCATTCGAGTGAGTATTTGCTAAATCTTTCAATTCCTTTGAAGAAGGAAACTATTTAGCATTGTTAACAGCTCATCTTGAGGGATGAAAATCTTTGTACTCTGGAAGGGAAGAAGACACATGGATCTTGGGTTCCAGTTATCATCTCATCTAGAAATGAAATGGACCAAATGCAAATGTCCCAAAACAGGTCTTGGGAGACTCAGATACCTATCTGCAGAGTCAAGATCTACAGTAACTGAAGGAAAAGACTCTATCCCAGCACCATGCTCATCTTGCAAGGGGAAACCAGTTTATTTGTTTTTCCCTCCATACTAAGAGCTTCCACAGTTCAACCCAAATAGAGAACATACACAATGATATAGTGCCAAAGGATGAGAAATATTACCTCCTTAGATATAAAATGTGTATTTTGACTTTTAAGCATATAGATACTGGTCATTGCTCAAGGTCAGTGTGAACTCAGGAGGCTGCTTTGAAAAATGTACCTTAGGCATACAAACAATGAAGCGTAAGCAATATGGCAATAATGGCAGAAGGTCAAAATCTTGTATGACACTGTGTCAAAATCTTCGGAAGGTATCAGGAACACAGTGAAATATAGAGGTTGTAGATGTGCACAGAATGGTAGGGGAAAATGAAGACATCAAGTACTCATGGGTGTATTTGTGCTAACAATTTTGAAATTTGTTAGTTGAGGTAATACAAACCTCAAATCTAGCCTATTCTATGAGAAGGTACAGGTACGTTCAGATGCACAACTAACTTTATTGAGCACACTTATTATGTGCTAGGTGATTTTCATAAATATCTCATTTAATACTTAGAATAGCTCTTGAAGTTGATATTTTAATCTGCATTTTGTAGTTATGGAAAATGAGACTCAGAGATACCAAATATCTAAACTAATGTCTCATGTAAAGATTAAGCAAATTCTCATTCGAGTGGGAATGAACTAATTTAATTCCAAAGGTTTCATGTTGTAGGCTTGAACCAAGGTTCTCTGTTTCCAAAGACAGTGGTCTTTTCATTAAACAATGAAAACTCAAAGTTCCCCAAACACAGTGAGGAACATACACCTCACGGTGTGAACACTGCTGAGTGCATTGTGGCAACTGTCAAAACTTTACTGTCATTTCCCTCGTTTCCAAATGATTGTTTCTCCCTTTCTCTCCACCCTTTTATTACGTATTTTCTATTTCTCTTATCTGTCTTTCCTTCCGTAAGCCATAGTCTAAGCACAATATGGACAATATTGTTAATCTTTCTGGTGGCATTCACAGGAAAGGCAGTTAATGCCATACAACAAAACTTTCAGTAAGCCAGCAATTCTAGATCATCTAACTGGTCAACCCATGAACCATTATGACAACATAAGATATTCTAATCATAGAGATGATGTATTTGGCCACATATATTTACGTGACCTGAACATGACTCCCAGTGCTAGACTCAATGGTGAATATAGTTAAATTATTCTGCATATGGCATTAAGAAATGAGTATGCTGGAGACATTCTGGAAAATTCTTAAATAGATGGGGACACCAGACCACATGACCTGCCTCTTGAGAAATCTGTACGCAGGTCAGGAAGCAACAGTTAGAACTGGACATGGAACAACAGACTGGTTCCAAATAGGAAAAGGAGTACGTCAAGGCTGTATATTGTCACCCTGCTTATTTAACTTATATGCAGAGTACATCATGAGAAATGCTGGGCTGGAGGAAGCACACTGGAATCAAGATTGTCGGGAGAAATATCGATAACCTCAGATATACAGATGACACCACCCTTATGGCAGAAAGTGAAGAGGAACTAAAAAGCCTCTTGATGAAAGTGAAAGAGGAGAGTGAAAAAGTTGACTTAAAACTCAACATTCAGAAAACCTAAGATCATGGCATCTGGTCCCATCACTTCATGGCAAATAGATGGGGAAACAGTGCAAACAGTGACAGACTTGATTTTGGGGGCTCCAAAATCACTGCAGATGGTGATGCAGCCATGAAATTAAAAGATGCTTACTCATTGGAAGAAAAGCTGTGGCCAACCTAGGCAGCATATTAAAAAGCAGAGACATTACTTTGCCAACAAAGGTACGTCTAGTCAAAGCTATGGTTTTTCCAGTAGTCATGTATGGATGTGAGAGTAGGACTATAAAGAAAGCTGAGCTCCAAATAACTGATGCTTTTGAACTGTGGTGTTGGACAAGACTCTTGAAAGTCTCTTGGACAGCAAGGAGATCCAACCAGTCCATCCTAAAGGAAATCAGTCCTGAATATTCATTGGAAGGACTTAAATGCTGAAGCTGAAACTCCAATCCTTTGTCCACCTGATGGGAAGAACTGATTCATTTGAAAAGACCCTCATTCTGGGAAAGGTTGGAGGCAGGAAGAGAAGAGGATGACAGAGGATCAGATGGCTGGATGGCATCACTAACTCGATGGACATGAGTTTGAGTAAACTCCGGGAGGTGGTGATGGACAGGGAGGCCTGGCGTGTTGCAGTCCATGGGGTTGCAAAGAGTCAGACACAACTGATAGACTGAACTGAACTGACTGATACTGAAGACAAATGATAAAACATCATTCTGATTTCGAGGCATATAATGACTCAAACTATATGCTTTAAAAATACTCTAAAAAAAGTCTGTGTTTTGCTTACCCAAGCTGTTTTCTGAGCGGGAACGGGTCACTAGAGCAGGTTTAAGAGGCTTTGGTCCAACTGTCGATATAGTTGCTCCACTAACTTGAGGGCTAGACAGACAGTAACTGAGAGGTATTTCATCAGATAACGACCGTGAACATGGCAGCGTCGTGCTACCTGAATCTGTCGACGTTGTAAAGAAATGTACTAAAGATGGCAGTTTCTTTGGGAAACTGTCCTGTGAGTCTTCTATTCTGTGTACAAAAGTGAGTATAACAAACAAAGTGAGACAGTCAAAATGATAGACTACGAACACAAGAAGCATTAACTGTCATTATCACTCAAGATTTTGCTTTTCAAAGGAATTATGCATCTAACAGAAGAGCACTTTATATTTTTAGTTTTAAGTCTGAATAAAACACTTCAGTAGCAAGTCAAGCTTTTCTTTTTTCTATTTAAAAATCAATAAACTCCTATCTCAGATAGTTTTACAAAAGTGTAAAACCTGAAAGAAAATAAAAATTATTACAATCCCACCAACTAAAATTTTTACCATTTCCTTCCAGTCTTTTTATTTTTATTAAAAATGTTTAAATTGAAATACAATTGATTTCCAATATTATATTAGTTTCAGATGTAAAACCTAGTGATTCAATATTTTTTTCCTTCCAGGACTTTTTTTTTTTTTACTCAAAATTGAGACTCTATAAACCATTTATAATCCACTTTTCAGTTCAGGTAAGTCGCTCAGTTGTGTCCAACTCTTTGCCACCCCATGGACTGCAGAACGTCAGGCTTCCTTCTCTATCACTAACTCCTAGAGATTGCTCAAACTCATGTCCATCAAGTCACTAATGCCATCCAACTGTCTTATCCTCTGTCATCCTCTTCTCCTCATGACTACAATCTTTCCCAGCATCAGGGTCTTTTCCAGTGAGTCAGTTCTTCCCATCAGGTGGCCAATATTGGAGCTTCTGCTTCAGCATCAGTCCTTCCAATGAATTCAGGACTGATTTCCTTTAGGACTGACTGGTTGGATCTCCTTGCAGTCCAAGGGACTCTCAAGAGTCTTCTCCAACACCACAGTTCAAAAGCATCAATTCTTTAGCGCTCATCTTTCTTTATAGTCCAACTGTCACATCCATTCATGACTACTGGAAAAACCATAGCTTTGACTAGACGTACCTTTCTTGGCAAAGTAATGTCTCTGCTTTTTAATATGCTGCCTAGGTTGGTCACAGCTTTTCTTTCAAGGAGCAAGCGCCTTTTAATTTCATGGCTGTAGTCACCATCTGCAGTGATTTTGGAGCCCCCCAAAATCAAGTCTGTCACTGTTTGCACTGTTTCCCCATCTATTTGCCATGAAGTGATGGGACCAGATGCCATGATCTTAGGTTTTTTGAATGTTGAGTTTTAAGGCAACTTTTTCACCCTCCTCTTTCACTTTCATCAAGAGGCTCTTCAGTTCCTCTTCACTTTCTGCTATAAGGGTGGTGTCATCTGCATATCTGAGGTTTTGATATTTCTCCTGGCAATCTTGACTCCAGCTTGTGCTTTATCCAGCCTGGCATTTTGCATGATGTACTCTGCATAAAAGTTAAATAAGCAGGGTGACAATATACAGCCTTGACATACTACTCCTTTCCTAATGTGGAACCAGTCTGTTGTTCCATGTCCAGTTCTAACTGTTGCTTCTTGACCTGCATACAGGTTTCTCAGGAGACAGGTAAGGTGGTATGGTATTGCCATCTCTTGAAGAATATCCAGTTTGTGTGGTCCACACAGTCAAAGGTTTTGGCATAGCCAATAAAGCAGAAGTAGATATTTTTCTGGTTACTCTCTTGCTTTTTCGATGATCCAGTAGATATTGGCAATTTGATCTCTGGTTCCTCTGCCTTTTCTAAATCCAGCTTGAACATCTGGAATTTCTCGGTTCATATACTGTTGAAGTCTTGTTTGGAGACATTTGAGCATTACTTTCCTAGCATGTGACAAGAGTGCAATTGTGTGGTAGTTTGAGCATTCTTTGGCATTGCCTTTCTTTGGGATTGGAATGGAAACAGACCTTTTCCAGTCCTGTGGCCACTGCTGAGTTTTACAAATTTGCTGGCATATTGAGTGCAGCACTTAAACAGCATCATCTTTTAGAACTAGAAACAGTTCAGCTGGAATTCCATCACCTCCACTAGCTTTGTTTGTAGTGATGTTTCCTAAGGCCCACCTGACTGGACTCCAGGATGTCTGGCTGTAGGTGAGTGATCACACCATAGTGGTTATCTGGGTCCTGAAGATCTTTTTTGTATAGTTCTTCTGTGTATTCCTACCACCTCTTCTTAATCTCTTCTGTTTCTGTTAGGTCCATATAGTTTCTGTCCTTTATTGTGCCCATCTTGCATGAAATGTTCCCTTGGTAGCTCTAATTTTCTTGAAAATATCTCTAGTTTTTTTCCATTCTATTGTTTTTCTCTGTTTCTTTGCATTGATCACTGAGGAAGGCTTTCTTAGCTCTCCTTGCTATTCTTTGGAACTGTGCATTCAGATGGGTATATCTTTCCTTTTTTCCTTTGCCTTTAGCTTCTCTTCTTTTCTCAGCTATTTGTAAGGCCTCCTTAGACTACTATTTTGCCTTTTTGCATTTCTTTTTCTTGGGGATGGTCTTGATCACTGCCTTCTGTACAATGTCATGAACCTTCATCCATAGTTCTTCAGGCACTCTATCAGATCGAATCCCTTGAATCTATTTGTCACTTCCACTGTATAATCATAAGGGATTTGATTTAGGTCATACCTGAATGGTCTAGTGGCTTTTCCTACTTCCTTCAATTTAATTTTGGATTTGGCAATAAAGGGTTCATGATCTGAGCCACAGTCAACTCCCGGTCTTTTTTTTTTTTTTTTTTTTTTGCTGACTATTGACAGCTTCTCCATCTTCGGCTGCAAAGAATATAATCAATCTGATTTTGGTATTAACCATCTGGTGATGTTCATGTGTAGAGCTGTCTCTTGTGTTGTTAGAAGAGAGTGTTTGCTATGCCAGTGCGTTCTCTTGGCAAAACTCAGTTAGCCTTTGCCCTGCTATTTTGTACTCCAATGCCAAACTTGCCTATTTTCAAGGTATCTCTTGACTTCCTACTTTTGCATTCTAGTCCCCTATGATGAAAAGGACATATTTTTCTTGGTGTTAGTTCTAGTAGATCTTGAAGGTCATCATAGAACTGTTCAACTTCAGCTTCTTCGGCATTAGTGGTTTGGGCATAGACTTAGATCACTGTGATATGGAATGGTCTGCCTTGGAAACAAACAGAGATCATTCTGTCATTTCTGAGATTGCACCCAAGTACTGCATTTTGGACTCTTTTGTTGACTATGAGGGCTACTCCATTACTTCTAAGGGATTCCTGCCCACAGTGGTAGATATAATGGTCATCTGAATTAAATTCACCCATCTTACTTTCATCACCTGTTATATCTACCCTTTCTGTTAACATGAAAAAACAGGATTATAATTTCTGTTAATATACCATTGTTTACTATACCTTTTCCCTTTAATTTCTCCTGTTGTTTAATTGTCTTGCATTTATAAAGATTCTACAGTTAATGTATGCTTTCAAATACATGCTACAAATTAATAACTACAAATACAGCTCACATATGTACTTGTGTGTGTATTTGTGTGTGTGTGTGTGTAGATGCTGAAGGGAAGAGCACAAAAGAGAGAAGAAAGACTTACTTTTCAGGCATTATTTTTGTAAGTAAATCTTACTATGAATAAAGATTTTTTTTCTTTTTTATAAATACAAAGGTATAGTATGCATTGATTTAAACAAAGTCCCTAAACCACAATACAGATATTTTATGAGTAGAACAATATTTTCATGGAGTAGGTCATGAAAAGGCTTATGACAACTACATTTTATGACTCACATTGAGGGTCTTCTCAGTAATCTCAGAGCAATTCATATGCCTGTGAATGTGTATGTTTTTAATGCAAGGTCCTGGAGTCCCATCCTTTAGCTCTGAAAAACCAGATTCATGGCCAGCCTAAGCACCCCCTTCCTGGGGGCTGCATGTCTATAGTTATGAGCTAAGTGTTTTGTCTCTACACACCATCTCTATTTTGATCGCATTTTCCATTGTTCCCATAATGCTATTTGAGCCAGTCCTGTTTTGTTTGTTTTTTCAAATCCTTCTCTAAGGGAACAAAGGCCTGAAACTTCCTAATCTGCCATCTTTCTGGTGTTACTCTCAATCTCTTTGTTTACCAAGAGGTAGTCTCAATTGTTTTATTCTATAATTGGTAAGTTCCTTCATCAGAAATGTTATATATCTGGAGAGCTCTCTACTCAAAATCAGACTTCTCTAAGTGTCCCTCTCACAAGGCACAGATATCTCAGGCAACTTTAAAAAATAATTAAACGGCATTGGCAGCTCATTATTACTGTTAGCATGCTAAGTTGCTTCAGTCGTGTCCAACTCTGTGTGACCCTATGGACTGTAGCCTGCCAAGCTCCTCTGTCCACCAGATTGACTGTGCAAGAATACTGGAGTGGGTTGCCATGCCCTTCTCCAGGGGATCTTTCCAACCCAGGGATCGAACCCGTGTCTCTTGTGTCTCCTATATCGGCAGGTGGGTTCTTTACCACTAGTGACACCTGGAAAGCCTACATTATTACTGTGCAGTACTTAAAAAGCTTCAGCACATGCCGTTCTACTGACTTCCCAACCACTCATCTTTCATCAAAGAAGCTCTAACCCATGAAGATACCCTCTTGAGTATGACAGGGGTGGTAATGAAAAGGAGACTACAGAGGTCTCTTGTCAAATCGCAAACATTTCATCTCTGTCTAAAATGAGACAGATCATATGACATAATTTTTCCCTGACACTGTCTAGAATAAGCAGGAAAAGGACCTATATCTTTCAAAGTTCCTTACATCTGGGTTTCATTAAAGACAACTGACTGTATCTTTTCACCATGTTCATTTTATAAGCTCTGATTTTTTTTTTCTTCCTTTGGTAAAACAATTGCATTTCCAAATAAATTTAATTCCATGAAAGATTCCCAATGAGCTTTTGCAAATGTTGTGATCAAAGAAATCTGGTCTAGGGCCACAGGGGGGTTCTTAGTTTTGTAGCTGAACAAGAAGTCTCCAATGGCAGCATGCACTGTTGGAAAAGCTAAAACATTTCAGGAAGAGATGAGCATGGGGCAGCCCACTGTTTGAACCCTGCCCTCACAGACCTATTAGACTCCTTTTGGAAGATGAGAGATTTTCTTCCTGGTGCTTGGTTAGGTTTCCCTTTCCCATGTGGAATTTTCCAAGCCCTTATTTGGTATTTTGCTTCCTCTGTAACTAGTTAACAGTAAAGCAGAGGTAGTTATAAATATTCATTCCAGCATTTCAATATTATTTCAATGTGGCATTGGTCATATTGACAAGTTACTAATATTTCTCAGATGACCTCTAAGAACAAATGTTTTAAAAATGGACTTGAACTGATCAGTAAACACAGGACATCCAGGTCCAAAGTAACATTGGCTTTAAATTGTGTATATTCAATATTAAAGATCATTTAAAAAATTTTAATTGGAGGATAATTGCTTTACAATGTTATGTTAGTTTCTGCCATACATCATCATGAATCAGCCATAGATATACATGTGTCCCCTCCCTCCCAGCTCTCCAGGCTGTCACAGAGCACCAGGTTTGAGCTCCCAGTGTCACAGAGCAAATTCCCACTGGCTGTCTGTTTTACATGTGGTAATCTATGTGTTTCCATGTCACTCTTTCAATTTTTCCCTCCCTCTCCTTCCCCCACTGTGTCCCCAAGACTTGGTCTCTATGTCTGTGTCTCCATTGCTGCCCTGCAAATAGATTCATCAGTACCAACTTTCTAGATTCCATATATATGCATTAATATAGGGTTATTTTTCTTAAAGATCATTTTTTAACAAAACATTGGAAAACAAATGCTGATGCTTTAGTTGATAAAATGATTTACATTAGTAGTAAAAACAGAGTTGTCATTTTAACATCCTCCTAGACATTTCCTAAACCAAAATTCTCCAGCAGTTCTGTTAGTAAAGTAGTTTTAAAGAAACTGTCTGCCAATTATTTTAACATGTTTAGATATGAGTTTTGGAAACTCTACCAGGTCTGATATGATGGAGATCTGTCTAGGTGAATTTTTCTATTACTCAGGGACTAAACATTATAAAACAGTGGTTGAGGAAACTGTACTATGTTATTATTAATTTTAAGAAATTTGTAGACTCGATTCTAGTTTTATTTTATAAGCCGTTTTGAAACAAAAAGGTCAAATGCTCCATCCTCATCCTCTGAAACTCATTTGTGACTTTCTTACTGTGCTTGAGTCTCCATCTTATCTTCTAGCTCATGGACTCCACTCTGCAGGACCACTGACATTTCCTGAATGGTTTCTGTGTCTCTCAAACTGGCTGGAAGACAAGAATCTTTTCTTTTCTGGAAAAATAAATTATGGCATTAGGCAATGAAGAGAACTGAGATTCAAGGCAGATTTTCTTTTTCAAGTGACCTCACTTGTTAATCTAACTACCTTAAAGCACTCTCCAGACATTATGATTTCTTCACCAAGCTGATGCCAGGATTCTAATGTGAATGTGTAACTACCGACATAGCCAATACTGATACTGGCTAAGAATGTTAAACAAATCAAGATGAAGGTGTGTAGCACTCACTGGAAGCAACTCAAGAGACAGGGCGGTAACCCAGCAAAGCTACCTTTATGATGACAACTTTCCCATCTGGCCGACACTGCCTGTTGGAACACTATGAGGTAATGTCTCCATAGTTACAAAGTTCCAGCCTCTGAACAATTACTGCGTTGATACTGCACCTGCTTTGCAGTTTGCACACATCGAATAATGTAACTTGCTTTTAAGAGAGCCATTTCTCCTACCAGGCACATTTTGTCATCAAAATGACTGTTATCCTATTTTGAATTTCTGAGGGTTAAAGCTAGTATGCAAATTTGGGAGGAGTTACTCACTGTTCTGGGGGTGGGGGGGTTGGTTCATTTGTTTTGACAAATGTTTTTTGAAGACATGGCAACCACGACTAGGCAGCACAAACAGAAAACTTGTATATTTTGAGGCAAAAAGAAACCTATTGGTAGAAATAATGAAACCAAAGCCAGGAGTTCCAAATTCTTCTTCTAGTTATTCCAGCAATATGACTTAGAAGAGATCACTTAGTTATGATTCTACCTTGAGTAAAAAGATACACATTTAATGTATCATAATAATAATGGCATGGGGATACAATTAACACACATGAAACTACATAATTGTGCATAATAATAAGATACATTAATGATGACTACTGGATGAGTAAGTTCATTCAATAGATATTTAAACAAGCATTTACTATTACCAGGAACCATCAAGGTACTATGAACAAACAATTCCTGCCTCAAGGAATAATGATAAAATATCTTCTAATTTAGATTAGAAAATGACTACCATCTTGGAATGATGCACAGTATTTAAATATCAATACAAAGGACAATGAAGAAAGTAACTGTTTTAATAAAAGAAAAAGGCAAGAAGTATATCACATAATGATACAAGTAAATTTGAGGACAGCATACATTTGACTATATTTTCTTCATCTCAGAGATGAAGGGAAATTCCTTATTAGACTTATAGGCCAATTATATCAGCACAAAGAGATTTATAAATTTATATTTATGTTCAGAAAAGAATTTAAATGAATTTATTATTTTTTGCCACCATCCCAGTTTCCTTACATCTTCCTATGGGGATGGTTTCCTAGCTATTAAACAATTTTATACTTGAACTACATATATTCCCATGATGTCATTATGATATCATTTGTTTTATCAGAAAACTTATTCACATTTTCCAATACTATTTGGAGAAACAAAATTCTGCCAATGGAGAAAAATGTTGAAAAGCTTTAAAATTGTGAAGGTTTCAATAGTTATTCCCCACACAAGACATTTTCGTTATCTACTTCCCGAGCTAGAGCATATAAGCAATTAAAATCAATTTCCTCTTTTGCTGCTTCTCAAACTGAGCCAGTAGTTTTCAACAGGAGATGAAGTGAATCACAGGGAATTTTGTGAATATGAGGGTACGTTGTTCAGGCTCCTCTGTCCATGGAATTCTCCAGGCAAGAATATTGGAGTGGTAGCCATTCCTTTCTCCAGAGGATCTTCCAGGGACTGAACCTGGGTCTCCCACATTGCAGGCAGATTCTTTGCCATCTGACCCACCAGGAAATCCCATGAAGGGACATTAATAGAAGTCTTAAAGATTTGGTGGGGTGCTACTGGCATTTAGAGGACAGAATCCAGAAATGTTAGACTTTCTACAACGTGGCAGAGAATCCTCCTTGGTAAAGAATTTTCCCAGGTACCATCTGACTTGCCAGACATTCATGGAGAGGAAAAATAATTTATAATTATCTGAGTCTAAAGCCCAACTCCATATTACATGTAAGTGAAAAATATTTTTGTACATTTTAATATATACCAAATTTTCCAGGAAGTAACTATGCACTGTTTACATTGAGGGAAGATTATAGATTGGTTTGTTCAGACCTTTTCCAAAAGTTGTTCACCAGTTGGAAAAATTACATCCTCAAAGGCAATACCACTTGGTGTGTTCATGTGATATAACTTAGCTGACATAGGTAATAATGGTAGCAACAACAATAACAAAATCAACATGAATCTGATGAATCTTCTAATTGACATAAAATACAGAGAACAGAAGAGCACGTTAGCTAATAGATCAAGACATTTAAAAGACAACCTGTGTAATTTGTGAATATAACTTTTATCTGAATTAACGTAAACTAAAAAATGCAAGACATTGGAAATTTAAGTACACTGGATACTTGATAATATTAAGGAGTAACTGTTAAATATTTAAGGTGTATTATGGTATTATGTGTAGAGAAGAAAAATGGCAAACCATTTCAGTATTCTTGCCTGGGGAATCCCATGGATAGAAGAGCCTGATGGGCTACATTCCATAGGGTTGCAAAAGAGTCAGACATGACTTAGCAACAAAACAACCAACAATGGTATTATGACTGTATTTTTTTTTAAAAATTCCTTGTTTAGAGATACATCCTGAAACATTGTAGATAAAATGATATGATGTCTAGATTTGCTTCAAAATAATGCAAAAACTAAGATCATGGCATCTGGTCCCATCACTTCATGGCAAATAGATGGGGAAACAGTGGAAACAGTGGCTGACTTTATTTTTCGGGGCTCCAAAAGCACTGCAGATGGTGATTGCAGCCATGAAATTAAAAGAAGCTTACTCCTTGGAAGGAAAGTTATGACCAACCTGGACAGCATACTAAAAAGCAGAGACATTACTTTGCCAACAAAGGTCCGTCTAGTCAAGGCTATGGTTTTTCCAGTGGTCATGTATGGATGTGAGAGTTGGACTATAAAGAAAGCTGAGCACCGAAGAATTGATGCTTTTGAACTGTGGTGTTGGAGAAGACTCTTGAGAGTCCCTTGGACTGCAAGGAGATCCAACCAGTCCATCCTAAAAGAGATGAGTCCTGGGTGTTCACTGGAGGGACTGATGTTAAAGCTGAAATCCCAATACTTTTGTCTACCTGATGCAAAGAGCTGACTCATTGGAGGGGACCCTGATGCTGGGAAAGACTGAGGGCAGGAGGAGAGGGGGATGAGAGAGGATGAGATGGTTGGATGGCATCACAGACTTGATGGACATGGGTTTGGGTGGACTCCGGGAGTTGGTGATGGACAAGGAGGCCTGGCGTGCTGCGGTTCATGGGGTCTCAAAGAGTCGGACACAACTGAGCAACTGAACTGAGCTGAACTGAATGCAGAAAGTAGGGAGTGGATGGAGTTGTGGATGAAAAAGATGGACAGTGACTTGTAATTGTTGAAGCTAGGTAATGGGTACACGGAGATTTGTTATACATTTTGTTTATTTTTTCTATAAATTTTGAAATTCTCTGTAGTGAAAAGGGAGGGTCATTTGGGGATGTGTAGACTCTGCATTCATTGGAAGGACTGATACTGAAGCTTTGGTCACCTGACGTGAACAGCTGACTCATTGGGAAAGTCCCTGATGTTCGGAAAGATTGAGGGTGAAAGGAGAGGAGGGTGTCAGAGGATGAGATGGCTGGATAGCATCACCGATGCAATGGATGTGAACTTGGGCAAACTTTGGGAGACAGTGAAGGACAGGAAAGCCTGGCGTGCTGCAGTTCATGGAGTCGCAGAGTCGGACACGACTGGGCAACTGAACAGTAACGACAGACTCTTTACACTGATAACATCATCATCATGGCTGTCTCTAATTCAGGAAGGACAGAGTCAAGTTAGAGCTGAAAGGGAAAAGCAAAAACACTGTTTATGAGGTTCACCAGCCTCACACAGGTCCTGTCACCACAGCTCTGGAAGATGGGAGTCTCCCCTTTTGAGGAAATGGCAGTCCAGAGAGATGAAAACCTCTTCCAAGGTTATATGGCCACTGGATGGCTGAGCCAGGATTTGGTCTCGCATCCATTTCTTACAAAATCCCCTTCACTCTACTCCCTGTTTCTCTGCTGTAATTACTGTCCAGTAGCTTCCTAACTCCTTCCATGGTAACTGCCTAACTACTTTTCTGACCCTGAACCAGCTCAGTCCTGATCTTTCTCTTTGCTATGGTCTCAGATCACTCTCTCCCATCGTCCAGACTCTGTGTCATTTCTATTTGACCATATCCTCTATTGGGAAGACACCAAAATTTCACATGAGAAATTGAAAGAGTATATATAGGGCAAAATAAGATGATGATAACTGAGTTTTATATTGTGAGCTTTTACCTTGATTAAGAAAAAAAATGCCATATTCTGTAATCTAAAAAAAATAGGCAAAACATTATATGTCCATAAGTTTTTAAAAGTTGAAAGACACAAAGAATTGGCTTTATGCACTCTGGTCTTCTGTTTCCCCATATGGAGAACATTTGCACAGTAGGAGATTTTGATTAAATCAGTAATATAAATAAAATGTCTTGTGTGAATGAAGGTAGTACATATAAAGAGAATTTTCTTCCCCTCTCAGGCCATGGATGGAAATTTCTAAATTGAGTATCATGTAATTGAAGATTACAATTTAAAACATGATTTTGCTCCACTATCTATGACTCAAAGAATTTGTATATATAGGGATACACTTTCACATTTGTACTCATACAAATTCCTATTGTAAAGCATCCTGCTAGTCTAAAAATGTGCTGTGTTGCTTCATTTCCTTCACACAGATCCACATGTAAATAACACAGCCTTGAACAGAGATGCTATTATTTCACCTTGAAGTTAGGGTCATGTGAAAGTCCTACTGGAGGTGTTCATAGGAGAGGACAGAAGGCCAGTTATTGGGAGGTTCAAGTTTCAGATATTTTGCTCTGAATACCTTCATGGCCCTTCCCAATCAC